GTGTTTTCCTTATTGTCTGTCACACTTGCTCGTGCTCATGCACATATTATAAAAGAAGTAATCTCTCCAAGCCAAAAGAATAGACTTCACCGTGCTCTGATTATTCAGTTTCAGACAGGTTTTTTCAGTTCTGGGACCCATATAATGTCATATAAAGAGAATATCTTATAACATTAGTTTGTTATATAACAAAATAGCAGTTTCTGTCATATCTCAGGCTTCTGTGCCTGAGATATGACAGAAACTGCTCAGTTTAGAAAAAAGATTCAAGGGTTACTCTTAGTAGGCTTTCAAGCAGAAAAGAGTTAAAGGGCCTCACAGCAGGAAAAGCTTGTTTCACAAGGTGGATGAACTTAGGGGCTACACTATAGAAGTATGAATAAAGATTATTTTTAACTGTCAATCATTCAAACAATATTCTAGTGGAGTCCAAAAAGAAATGAACAGGTCATTTCTGGTTACAAAAACCAACATGTTGGCAGTTAAAACGCTAATGATGAGGTTTCAAAATTTACGATGTTAGCAACCCCGATCCCACTCACCCATAGTTGCAGAGAAGATAACGATGCCAAGGACATTCATCTGCTGGCTGCTGCCTGGACTTGTCTTGTATATGACATCTGGAGAAGGAGTCAGCTCGAGGTACACCATGCGCCCTTTGGGGTCATTATCATCAGGGATCACATAGACAAAGTTGGGCTGAATTGTTTTGGTTGGGACTTTGAGGATGGGAATCAGGTCTGTTTTGTACTGAAGAAAGAAAATCACATTTAGTTACAGGATTCAAGCTTGTAGCATTAAAGAAACAACACGATTCTGTTGTCTTACCTGTTGAAATGTGGCCTCAATTAGATTGGAAGGAACCATGTTTCTGTGATAAACAAATTACATCGTTAGCTTTAAACAAACAAACAAACTCCTCCCACCCGCTGCCTCTTCTGCATAGGAGGAGCCTAAGATGCCTCCATGTTGTTCTTTTGTTCTTATTAATTTTTTATTTTGGAATAAATTTTATTTAGCAGCACGACTTGGGTGGCTCTTCTACAGGATGACTGTCTGCACCCTTTGCTGGGAGGGGTTCATCACCTCAGGAGGTAAACAATCCAACGAATCCTTCCAACATGGGAGTGACTTTCAAACATGGCACGAGAGCTTGGTCTGCCAACGTGCCACAGCAGAGATCATGCACCGCCACTGACTTGGTTAATCTATCACT